AAATTCATATCATTGAAACTCAGTACCAAAAAAAAAAAAAAATTGAATGATTTACTAGTTTGTATAATATTTTCCACATTGATAATATATATATTATTCTTCTTGCAATGTGAAGCATATAAGATCAACTGATGCTGAAAACTTCAATGCTTTTTAAGGACATTTCACTTATTTTCGTTAAGCATAACAAGTTTGTTATTATTCATTAATTAAAATTTCCATTACCTGGTTTTGATTATTTACATATACTAGCCCCCACATACATCATACATTAATTATCAAAATAGAATTCTCAAACTTATTTTGTTTATTGCATAATATATATTTTTGATAACTCAATATAATATAACAATACTATGTAATTGAATGTTATTGAGAATTGAGATTCATGTCTGACTCATCAATTTAATGAATCCAAATTCTCTAAAATTAGATTGAACCAACTAATTATAAATTACTATTTTCATTGCTCCATGATTGAATCTACATGATTCATTGATACATTTCCATACTCGACCTTCCTTTCATTTTCTTTGCTTCATTTTTATTTTATTTTATTTTATTTGCCTTCGTTTCTCATTAGCAATTGATCTGCATAATATTTTTTTTTTTCGAGAGCACACATACACAGACAAAAGAAGAGTGCCACCTTCATCTTCTCACCATTTTTTAATTTAATTTAATTTTATTTTTAAATTTTAAATCAAACACTATAAGCTGAGCATAAAAGTAACTTAAGAAAAGGAAATAAAAAATAAAAAATGGATGAGAGTTCCACATATTAGCAATGCTACGAACCACAAATTTTACTTCTTCTTCTTCTTCTTTTTTTTTTTTTTTTTAATCAGTCCACTAGCTGGTTGATCCTAAGCTTTTCCAGTCGTTCAATGATACATTTGAGATGTTTTCATGATACACTAGCATTTTTGGGGCCATTTGGGAGTATCATAAAAAGTCAAAAGTCAGCTTTTAATTCATTTTAGGTCATATTATCTCTCACATAAAAAAGTTAAAAAAGTAAAACAATTAACTTTTAACCATCTTCTTAAAACATCTCGATTCATATATTTTGGTGTAACCCAACAAAGCTAGCTTGACATACAAGGAACTTATCTTCAAATATAAACTTAAGAAGTATGAACAACATCTATAACATTAATCAATAAGTCACAAAATTGTATATTCCTCAATATATTGTAGGCCACCCATGTTGAAAAATAAAATCATTATATAATAATTAATTGCATAGCTTAATGTTAGAGAATCTAGACACTCAATGGTAGGACACATAGACTTTCTGGAAAAAAAAAATGGTGAGTATAGATAAGCGCCGACACTTCATAAGAATAAATACAGTGTTGTAAGCATTACATTTTGTACATTTTTTTGTAAAAGATTCCATGTTTGAAGTATTACTCATACCATTGCGTAGTTGACAGATTAAAAAGCGAGCGATCGATTCTTTCAAGCACAAAATATCAACTAGTGGAGGATTAGGGACCACAACTATGAAATGATCACTGATATTTTGTAATTTGTGAATGAACAGTCTTAATCTACAAAAATGAGGACCCTAACAGAATATGCAGCTTAATTTAATTGTCTTGAGAAAAAAACAAGAAAGAAAAAAAAAGAAAAAGAAAAAGGGTAAACTTCACTTTAACCCCTTATGGTTTAGGCCATGTGTGGATTACCTCTGACTTTCAAATATCACCACATAATCCCTTTATAGTTGATGGACTAAAACGCACACTAACTTCCGTTAACAAAAGTTGTAAATTGACAATTATACCATCATCTTCATTTTGTTCTTCTCTCTCTCTCCATCTTCATCTTCTTCTTTTCTCTCTCTCCATTTCAAACTTTATACAAGCTCATCTCATCTTCATATTTTAGCCATTATACAAATATATATATATATATATATGTATATGTATGAGAGGAATTTTAATTCTCTTCAATCAATTTTTTTTTTATTTTTAAATGGGTTTGGATTTGTATATGTATACAAATATATATATATATGTATATATATATATATGTATGTATATGTATGGGAGGAATTTCAATTCTCTTCAATCAAAAAAAAAAAAAATATTAAAATGGGTTTGGATTTGTATATGTATATGTACATGATCAAGAAAAATATATATATGTATATATATGTATATATATATGTACACATGATGGAGTTCTGGTCCAGATTGTCTTCGCAGAGAAGGCCGGTGTTGAGGTCGATTGTGTGTGGATTGATGCTATTTGCGTTGGGTTTGATTTCGTTGTTCACTGGTCCAGATTGATGCTATTTGCATTGGGGTTGATTTCATCGTCCTTTTTATTTGATTTAGTTGTTCAAAGGCAAAAAGGAGATATATTGCTGTAAATAAAAAGGAAATATATTGGATCTCAAATAAAAAGAAGATAACACAAAAAAATAAAAAAAAAGATATATTGCAAGATCCAAATTTGAATTTGCAAATTTTTGTTCTGAATTGGAGCTGTGAGAGAGGAGGAGAAGGAAGAATGGCAAGTCTTTGTAAATTTAAAGATGTGTAGGGGGTATTTTGATCATAAAACATAGCCTACTCTCTTCATAGGCGTGTGAATCTCACCGCCTGTTAATTTGGATGGAAAAGTTAACTGTGCGTTTTAGTCCATCAATTACAAGGAATTATGTTAATTGGGATGGAAAAGCTAACGGTGCGTTTTAGTCCATCAACAACAAGGGTTATGTGATAATATTTAAAAGTCAGATGAAAATAATCTACACATAACCTAAACCATAGGAGATAAAGTGAAGTTGGCTCAAAAAAAAAATCTCCCTGTGCCCCCATGAAAATTGGAACTATGATTTTAAACTAGAGCCACAAATGATCCTATCAGTTAGCTTATGCTACCAAAAGGTTTATCGCTTTCACAAATAAACAAACAGTCTTCCCTAAAGAATTGAGAGGCTTCTCTCTAGCTTTCAAAGGAGACTAGATCGTGTAGTCTTGATATGTGGGTTCATTATTGGTTTAATGCATTGATTCATTTGTTTTTTAAAATTTTGGATAGAATAATCAAATCAATTTAATAATTATAAGAATAATACTTGGGACCTCCTTTTGGAGATCACCCCTCACCCTCTTTGTCACGTGGCAGGAGGTGATTGGTGGAGCAGGAAAAAAAGAAAAAAGAAAAAAAAAAAGTAACCAATGAGAGAGAGAGGGTGAAAGGGGTGGAGAAAAAGGGATGAATCGTTACTCTAATTATAATCGTATAATTTTTATTAAATTACTTTAAACAAATAGACAGTTGTCATAGTGAACCCGTAGACTCATAGTCTCGAATTAGACTAGGCCAAACTGCACGGTGACCTAGAAATAACCCCAACTCAACTCCCCAAATAACTACTATCATAATATATATATATATATATATATATATATTCTATTGTATTAAGTGAGCCCCTATGTTGGTTTCTTAAAACTTTTGTCACGCGGCATTTACATAATTTAAAAAAAAAAATACTCAAATTTTACTTAAATGTCTGTTACTCTCTAATGGGAACAAACAGTTACAGAACCACACCCTAAAATCACTCAACTTCCTTTCTTCCTCATCTTTGTAACTTCATTTCTCTCTCTCAATTCAAACATATACAACAATATGTTGATATATATACATACACATTTATATAGACATTATAGAGAAAGGGGTTGACTTCTCTCCCGTCCATGATCGGACTCGAGGATGCTGTTGGGCCCGTGGAGGCACACCACGGGTCCCATTTCGATAATCTGTATTATTCAATATGTAGAACTTGTCGAGTACTATATGCTTATAAAAAATCACGTCTATCGGATGTTGATAGCTACGTAATCAAATCAATTTTATATATATAAAAAAATGAACGGTGAAAAAATAAAAACGGTTGACAGAAATATGATCCAATAAGATAGCTATTGATATCCGATCAATGTGATTTTTTACAGATATATAATATTCGACGAGTTCTACACATTGAACGGTTCGGATTATCGAAACGAGACCCATGGTGGGCCTCCACGGACCCAATAGTATCTTCTAATCTAATCACGGACTGGAGAGAAACCCAGTCCATAGAGAAAATATTAGAGGAAGGAAAGGAGTCATAGACACATATCATAATCTATTACTGCATTTGATGAGATGCTTGCGATGTTGAATGCGAAGGCTGAAGCTTCGAGATTGAAAGAAGTTGAACAGGAGGTTGGGAATGATGTGGATGAGGAACAGTAGAATATATGTATATATATATATATATTTGTGTGTATGAGTGTTGTTGAACACATGTATTATTTCCATTGAGATTTGTGATTGTTGATGGAGTTTTAGAAGTGTTTCTTCTCAATTAGATATGTTGATTTGTTGATTAATTTATTTTGTTTTTGTTTGTTTGTTTTTTTTTGATTTATTTTTGTTGTTTTTGATCTAATTTCATTTTGCTCTGTTTTTTTCATTTGATAGAACCAGAGTAAAATTTTACTATGAAAGTAAAATTTTACTCTGTATAAAAGTAAAATTTTACACTCTGAAACTAAAGTAAAATTTTACTCTGTATGAAAGTAAAATTTTACTCTGTATGAAAGTAAAATTTTACACTCTAAAACTAAAGTAAAATTTTACTCTGTATGAAAGTAAAATTTTACTCTGAAACTAAAGTAAAATTTTACTCTGAAATACATAATGAAAATGACTTAATAGAAGAGCTGATAGATATGAGGGTAATATAGTAAAATAAACAAGTTTTAAAATATCAGGAAGTTTTGAAAGTACTTATATAATTCTTGTCCTTTTGAAAGACAAATTAGATAGTGAGGGGGCTATCACCAAATCCCCCAACTATTTACCAATAAGTGATAATACTATATATAATAATGTAAAATAATATCGCTGTTATGTTATATCCCATATCAACTCTCTATAATCCTGCATCAATAACCGGCAAATCAATTTCAACCTAAAGGTAATCAAAATATTCTTCCAATCAACAAAAGCATGGGAAACTAGCAACTTTCATTGTATGTATATATCTTAATAATTACTTACTATAGATCTATATGTATGTATCAAGTTTTCTATCCATACCCAATTTGATTATCTACCATCACCAATTCACCATCCTTCGCCTAGAACTCCAGCAGCCATCACTGATACTCTCGGTCCATAAACAGTAATGCCAAAAAACCAAGAATTTAAACATAGAAATTGCTACAAAATAAAAAATAAAAAAAAAATTAATATGCGGTCTGAACTGCGTATTAATTTTTTTTGGTTCTTTTCTGTGACTGAGTTCTTGGTTTCTAGTATTACTGATCGATAAATCATTTCATGAATCCCAAATAATTTTCTGTCTATCCAGCCAAGTCATGAAGCAATTGTGCACCCATCAAGTTCCTATAAGGCAAATTCTGTCCTTCACCATCCAATAGCGAGTACTGAACCGGCTGACAATCTTCAATATGATCTCTTGCATAGAAGAGAGTACTCTGTGATGCCGGGGAGAATGCTAAGCTCACCCCACTCCCACCATGCTGTTGTAATCCCAGTGTCAAAGACACACCACCACCACCGCCGCTATTGCCACCACCAAAACTCTGGTGGGCATTCTCATTCGCATAAGAAACACCACCAACCGCATGATGATTGTATGTCGAAAAGTCCAATTCCACCGCCCCAAACGTCTCCGCCACTCTACCAAAGCTATGCTGCTCCTGATGCTGGTGGTGGTGGTGGTGGTGGTGGAGCAAATTGTGGGGTGGTTGGTGATTTTGAGGGCTTTTAGTGCCATGTTTGGGGTCATTTTTTTCTGGGTTGTTGTTGATGATGGAAGAGAGACACTCTGAATCGATCCTCACGAGTTGGTCTTGTGTTGGCTTCTGATCTTCGGGGCGTGCCTGAGGGTTTTGATCATCTGAGGTGGAAGCCATAACCATGTGGTTATCTTGTTCCTTTGTTTCTTCTACGTACATCTCTTCAACCATTGGCTTCCATAGCCTTACTCTTGCATTAATGAACCAATTTGATACCTGAACAATATAAACAAACATAAAACCAATGCATTAACAAATTACATATAGATAATATATTACATGAATAAATATAAATTATATGTTATTTTAAATTTTAAGATATGGGTCAATTAAATTAATGGAATAATAATAGGGGAGAGAGAGAGAGAGAGAGATGTGGACATGCCTGGCTTCTTGAGAGACCTGTTTGGCGGGCTAAGATGTGCTTATCTACATCAGTTGGGTACCTGAGCAGAGTTTCATGAAAAAAACAGTACAGTTTTTACAAGTTCAACATTTGTTGTACTTTTAGTAGTAGTTAGAACATTGAAAAACTTGAGTGGATGAGAGACAAAAGAGATGGGTCCTATATATGTAAGTTGCCACAGAATCCAATCCAAGCCACACAAATGAAAACACAATGGCCTAAACAAAAATTCACAAAGCAAAATATATGTATATACATATATGATTGAAAACAATATGTCAAGTGCCAATATTGGAATCTTATGGGAAACTACCCAAATATTGGGTTGTTCTTTGCAACCTCAGTACTACTAGAACTACAAGTGGAGTTATTTTTTTGTTCTCTTTATAAATCTAGACTGTGGCTCTTATATATATATATATATATATACAGACTGTTTTAAATACTGTCTAATATATATTGAGATTTTGAATTTTTGATATTAATATTCAGTGATTATTTGATATGACTAAATATATGCCTTTTTCACTATACCCGTTATTTAAAACTTATATGCTATGATTTGATGAGTGTATAATATATGACAAAGAAGGGTAAGAGAAATTTACGGGTGTAGGAAATGCTCGAATAGCCAAGCTCGAAGCACCGACACAGATCGCTCGGGTAGGCCACGTTGGGGTCGCCACGGATGACTCTCCATCATGTTCATCTGTTGAAAGGCCCTTTGTTGCCTCAGAGTTTGATCAAGAAGCCTAAGTCTTGGCGTCTCTCCCCGTGTTGTACCCGGTGCAGCTGTATCCTTCTCTCCCATGGCTTTCTTGGTATCATTAATCTGATCCACAATCCCATCTCTTAGGCATCTAAAATGCCTGGACATAGCCTTCGAAGCCAACGCCGAGTAAACAGTTGCCGCTCCATTCCCTGCCACTGCTTCAAACGATGAAACCACGGCTTTCATTTGATCACAGTAGCGCCTGTATCTTCTATCCACCTACTCCCACACAAACAAAGATAAAGACAAAGAGAAAAGAAAATTAGTCCTGCTATGAACACAGAAAGTGTAGAAACAAAACAAATTAAAAGAGTTAATAAAAATGAATATTGAAAGAAACCCACAAGAAAAATGAAGAGGAATAGAGGTTTCTGAAATTAAAATGGAACTGCCATGAATTGTCACCATGTGGGCATTAATGGAAAGGCCCTCTCAGCCGCTTAATTAGTTCAAGATATCATCTTCCCAAATATTGATTGTTGAGCAATAAAAGATTGGGGTGGAAAGTGGGGAAAAAAAATTAAAAATTAAAAAAAGATTTTGAAATCAAATTAAAAAATCAGAGACTATGTATAGTAGTAGTATACCTCTTCAAGCATTGAAAGCAGTTTTGTTTTTCGTTTCTGCAACTCCAGGAGTTCAAGGTTGTACAAAGATTGCTTTTTTGAAGAATTGTTTGTTGTATTCTCATCCTGCCACTGACTGTTCTTGCTGTTGTGGGGCTGCTTTAACTTTGTTTTTGGGTCAGTTTGCTTTGTTCCAAGGTTACAGAACTCATTCAGAAGCTCCTGAGCAGGTCCCAGATACTTTGAGTTCCTGATCTGAAGAAACTGTCCATGGCGATTATGATGTTGAGTATGATTTGCAGCTTTTCCCAAAAACACATCTTGAATCATATGTTGCTGAACATTATTCATTGATTTTCCAAAGAAACCATCTGATCTAGAACTTGAGGAAACAAATCTAATATCATCTTCTTGTTGTTGTTGTTGTTGCCTGAGCTCAAAGGACTGTAACCCAATAGTAGAAGGGTTGCTTGAGCTGAGTGAGAGTGAGAGTCCTTGACTTGGCCTTTCATTTCCTTCACAAGGAAACACACACCTCAGAGATGAATCATCAACCATCAATCTGTTCTGATCATGCCAACCACTTGTTGAGTCTGGTGGTTGCGGTGGTGCAACCATCAGGGTTTCACTTGTTTCACTTGTTGCAAGGGCTATGAATTCAGAAGCCTTGTTGTTGAACTGTTCTTGCTGATAAAACTCACTCGCTGCAGACTCATTCATCGTCTTCGAAGACGAAGCACCGCCACTTCCACCACCGCCGCCACCACCAGTTTTGCCGGCGAAGAAGCCTTTCCAGATAGCAGAGTTGGTGTCAGCGTCACTCTTTGGTGGAAACCCTATCATCTCCATGCCTGTGGTCAAGTTGTAGATCTCTGGGTTGGACTCAAAGCTTTGTAACTGATGATTCACCAGATCATGAGATTGGATGTTTGGGTTTCCAGATGAGACATCAGAGTAGCAATAGCCTGTTGATGAGGCCATGTTGTTGTTGTGTTTCTCTTCTTCACCACCTTGATGAGCCATACATGGCAGAGCACTAAATCTTATTCTTCACTTGTGCTGTGTTGTTTTTCTTCTATTTTTCCCCGCCTCTAGATTCTTGTATTATTTGAAGATTTTCAGGACCCTGCAAGAACAAATCCATCAAGATCCAAATACACTAAAGAACCCAAGAAAACAAAAAAACCCAACATTACTAAACAAGTAAAGGAAGACCCATAAAAACAAAAAGATCAAAAATCTAAACTTTGCATAACCCAATTAATTACCTTTTTGTCAAAAAGCTCTTTTTTTCCCACACACAAACTAGAGAGAGAGAGAGAGAGAGGGGTTGCTGATATGTGAAGGTGGTGGGTGTTTGGTGGTGACAGCGGTGGCGGTGGCGGTGGCGGTGGCGGTGGTGGTGGTGGTGGAGGTGGAGGTGGTGGAGGAGGAGGAGGAGGAGCTAACCCTAGAGGTAGAGCTCGTAACTCGGGACCTGGACCAGCTCGTCGACTTCCAAATCGGAGCTCAAATCGCACCACTCCGTATTCAGCTGGAAAGGTGAGTTCGAAACTCTCACAATTTCAGGCTTTTCACAAATTGTTATACAGTATGTGTGTGTGTGCGATCTGATTATTAGTTGTGGTTGTGACTCTGGTGTTGACTATGAATGTGAAATTCGACAGGTTTTACTTGTTTATATTTCTTAACCAATCATTATTTAATATGTTCACTTATATTTTTCAATTACCTAACACAATACTCTACTTGTATACTTTTTTTATCAATTATAATATTATAAAATATAACGCATCTATATTATGAAATTATTAAATATTTACCCCCTCTCTCTCATATCAAGTGGGGGTCAATGCACCATGATATAAATACATCCAAAATAGACTTCCTAGAAATCAAACCTTCCCTCAATTATTCCATGCCCTCCATCAATTAAAAAAACCAACAATTGTAAATTATTCCTTAAAAAATACTTTAAATTTCAAACACAATAATATATATTTATGTATATTATATTAATATTAATATAATATTTGAAATGAAACTCTGTGCTCTGCTCTACGAAGTACTACTCATACAGTCTCCCAAAAGAAAAAAAAAGAAAAAAAAAATTATAATCCCATATAAGTGTCGTTTGGGAAGAGCTCATTTGGGCTCTTTTGGCTCTTTGAGCCACAAAAGACAGAATAGGCTATTTGAGCCACAACAGACAAAACATCACATCCAACCCATAATCATTATACTCTTCTCTCACAAAAAAAAGTCAAAAAAGTCAAAAAGCCAAAATGTCCTTCCCAAACCAAGCTTTTGAGCCTAGGCTCACATAGCCAAAAAAGTCAAAAAGCCAAAAAGCCAACCCACTTCCCAAACGGAGGCATAGTATTAGAAAAATAATTACAGAATCATTAAAAAATTTATAATTTTAATTATTAATGTTGATAAATTTTTTTATTGATTTATAATTATTTTTACAAAAATACACTGATATATAATATCCAAGAAAAAAAGAAATTACTAGCCATATACAGGACTATGAAAGTGATCCTGGCCCTTTGCCTTGGTACATAGACGGCAATAGCCGCCACATGATATGACTTGTGCACATAAATTCTAAGACCTACAATGGTTAAACCATTACCACATATTGATACATGTTTTCCATACAAAATTTTTAAATTCAAACAATCTTAATTATAATATTTTTAGGGTAAATTAGATTTTTCTCACTATGTACCTTAAAAGAAATCTTCCAGTCTCCTAAATTGTATAACTTTTTGCATTTTTGAGGGACAATTTTGGCAATTCAAAAGAAAAGTTTTGATGCAAAATCCAAACTCAAATACAACCTGATTTGGCTCAATCCTTACCTGAATGGACCTCCTTTGTCACGATCCTATTCCGCCCCTAGTAGAATGGTGCCATGGTGGCCAGTAATCCGAGATTACCAAAAGCCAACTTACAAGGATTCACACAGTCAGAGTATACATATGAGACTTATATGTGCGGAAGCAATAAATTTAAATTTAATTAATCCATGAGAGCAATGCATAGATCAAATGAAATAGCATACATCTTATCATGATTTTACAACTTGGATACAAAATAAAACGCATCTTGATCAAAAGGCTTCTCAAGCTGACATACAAAAGAAATGAGCTACAAAACTAAGAAGCATAATCTTCAAGATGATACAAAACATGAATCCAAAACATCTTTCAAACAAGGCTTAGGCAGCAGCGCCCTCTTGCTCATCACCTACATATATAAGGAGATGGTGAGTTTGGATACTCAGTGAATGATATTAGTAATAAAGGTTTAAATGAATGATATCCGAGATCTTTATCAAAACAATACATATCATAGCTTGTACAAAATTAAGGGATGAACCAAGTTCATCTATCAAATCTTTCAAAGTTTCAAGGGATGCTTACTAGCATCAATATAATACAAGGGATGACATTTCTAACAAAACAAGTGAATAATCGACCCGGAATCGATTAAACAAACCCACCTGTACAAGACCATCGGTGGCAAGGGAGATATCTCAAACAAGGGCACTAGTTGCATTATAGTCCCATAGTACTAAGGACTTTCCAAGAATGTCATCAAAACAAGATAATACTTAATACAAAACTAGAGATAATCATTCATACTTAAACAAATACTTTTCCAAAACGAAACAAAGCAAAGCTTTTATCAAACACTATAACATAGCTTTATTAAAAATACCACTCACATAGCTTTTCGGGTGTAGGGCTTAAGGGAAGAATCCAAGACCTACAAATACATGGCAAAGTCCACTGAATGCATTTCAAGAAGACAAGAAGTAATGCTCAAAGATGGCTGTGCAATGCATCCTTAAGACAAGCTCTACATGAACGTAAATGATCTCGGTATTTTTTTCTAAAAATCAAGTCAAGACAAGGTAAAACATGTGCTGGGAGTTAAAACACTGTTTTTTTATCTCGGGAAAAACATGCTGGGTACCAACCAAGTCTTGGCCGAAGTCCCACACCCCTTGGACGAGGTGTGGTCCCGGTGCCCACATTCAGGGAAATGAAGTCTGGAAAATCTGGGTTTCCTTTTGAAGAATATGAACATGAAGAACATGAATGCTAAAATCATAACTTCTTTATTCAAAATCTGAGATTTCATGATATGAGTTCAAAAACATGGACCTGGGTACCATACTTGAAGATTCCATAAAAACAAACACAAAAACATAGATCTTGATACAAACTTTCGGATCAAAACGTGGGTTTTTCTTTAAGAACACAAGAATATCATTTTCTCTTTCTAAAACCAAACTTCAAATCAATGCATGGCTCGTGAATCATGCTAGATCATGCAATGTGATCAGATCAATATAAAGAACAACAAGAGTATATCAAGACTCTAACCTCAAAACACGAATCCAACGGTTCAAACTCTAAGAATCAAGCTTGGAAATCTATTCTCACTCTAAGAACTCCTTCTTTCTCTCTTTCTAGAGCTTCTCTCTCTTCTAAGACAAAGATATAGCAAATGATATGTTTTCTCTACTGCCGGCTGACTTAACCCTCTGCTGGGACACGTGGCACTACCGGATTGGATTTTCTCAAAAAGGTGCCTGAGTGAAAAAACAAGGATATGACAAAGTGTGTATGACAAGTAAGGTGACAAGGTCACTCTGGCAAGGCAAGGATCTCGATCAAGACATAGGCTTCGGCAAGTAAGGTCTCAATGATCTCGGCTAGGAAGGATAACACTTGACCTAGCTATGCCACACCTCGGCCTAGATGTGCCACACCTCGATCTAGGTCATACCAGTCTAGGAATAAGATCACTAGGTGCAAGGATCAAAGATATAGGACGTCTAGATGATAACACCTCGGCCCAGGTGATGCACACCTCGGCCTAGATGATGACATCTCGGCCAATGTGTCAGGGTAAAGGTGGAGGTCAACCAAAGTGGATTCTAAGATGGTCCTAAGTGTAAGAGGTTCAAGGATGTGACATAGGCTTAACGCACCAAGCAAGGAACAAAGCATATAAGCAATACATAAGTAAGTCACACAAACACAAAATAAGACAGAGACCTTTACTTAGGCAAAACAATTCAAAATCTACAAATGCAAGCTCAACAAGACAAAATCATGCAGATGTACATGAACGTGACCAAGACAAGAATGAGGGTCATTACATCCTTCACCCGTCATACGAATGAATTTCCCCTTTCTCACTCTCATCTAAGGTTCTTGTTTTCTCTTCTATCCTTATTCCTACAAAACCCTATCCAATGCCACCATTTGCCACCACTTGACCTCCTAGCCATCCTTTATACCACCACTAAAATCCCATCCTCAACCCAACCCCTACCCCTTCCTTCACCCCAAGTGACGCTAAATCCACCACCTTCACTTTTTTCTACGTCATTGACCATATTTCTGTTTAGAGAGAGTAATTGTGATTTTTTGAAGATATGTCATACTTTATATTGAAGATACTGCTTCAACGGATTCTGGTACAACTACTGCTGCAACAGGTTCTGGTACAACTACTGCTGCAAGAAATAACTGCTCTAACTAATTTTGTTATTCCAGCTGTGGAAAGAAGCTTCTCGAAGTTACTTCCACCTCATCCATATAGTTGTAACTATCACTCCATTGTAACAAACTAGTGCTTACTTACAAGTTTATAAATACAGCATTGTAATTCATTCTCTGTATTCTTCTGAAAAATTAATAAAGAAGTTCTTAGTTTCTTCATGGTATCAGAGCATGCTCTCTCTTACGAGTTGATCCATGGCTCCTTCTACTCCTTTGTTATCTTCTCTCATGGCTTCAACCTCACTTCCTCCAAATCTCTCATTACTGATTTCAAACTTCTCTTCATTCATCACTATCAAGCTTGATGCATCAAATTTTCTGATATGGAAAAATCAAGTGCAGAATATACTCATTGCTACTAGTCTTCTTGGATTTGTTGATGGAACTATATCATGTCCACAATTGAGAATAACAGATTCTTCTGGTTCAGAGAAAGACAATCCTGAATACCTGCAATGGAAGCTTATTGATGCACATCTGCTCAGTTGCATTACTACAACTTTGTCACTTGCAATCTATTCCTCTGTTCTTCATCTTCATAGCTGTGCTGAGATCTGGACTGCTCTACATAAGCAATTCACTTCACTTTCTCGATCTCATGTTCATCAGTTGAAGAACAAATTAAACAGCATTTCTACGAAAACAGATTCGATGGAGACTTATCTTTCCAAGATCAAAGACTTGGTCAGTCAATTGGCTCTTGTTTCTTCATTTATAGATGATGAAGATCTTGTTTTGCTTACCTTGAATGGTCTTCCTGATGAGTATGATGCCTTCAAGACTACCATTCGAGCCAGATCAGAGTCAATTCACATGGAAGAATTGACTGCTCTTCTTTTGTCT